TGCCCCCTTTTCACTTCCAGAAAGAAGGGCTTTCAGGTAAAGGTTTGGTTTAATAATAGTGTGGTTAGGTCTGTCTGTTTCTCTTTAGACTGTACCCATTTCCCTCTCTTTAACCCCGAGCATGCCAATTAGGTCTAACCACACTGAGTCCACTTGAGGAAAGATGTTCCCTTTTTCACTTCTATGAGAACAACTAAAGGTAGCATTTTCTGAACACTAACTGTGAGCCCAGCACTGAGTGGTGGTTCCTGTTATGTGGTGACTTGGCTGGGCATGCTTCTTCCAAGTTGTTTGGAGTGAGGTTTACATTTAAATCAGGGCATCAAGCAAAGCAGATTGCTTTTCAGGATGTAGGCAGACTGTGGAAGGCCTGTGCTGAATGAAAGGCTGACCTCCCCTGGAGGAGAGGTCTTCTCCAGCACACGACCTTGGGATCTCATTGAGAACGCCAGCTGTTCCTGGTTCTAGAGCCTTTAAAGTCTTTCTTGAGCCTTTTTCCTGCTGGTTTCCTTTGTCAGGTTTTGGGTTCCCCAGAACTCCTAGCCGTGTGTGCCAGTTATTTAAACTCATCTCCCAAAAGCGTAACTATGATAATTACGGTCTATAAATCCTATGTAATTATCTTAAAGACATTCTTCTAATTTTCCAAATACCCTTTGAAGTCTTAAAAAGTATTAGCATTGCATGGGTTAAAAAAAGGGAGGCTGGAGTATAAGGCGATATGTTCAAGGTCTTCCAGAGAAGACACAGCAGAGGCCTGCTTGTAACTCAGAGTTCAAGGACGGAATTACTTGGCTGTCTTGACATGCTTTGACCTTATTGATGTTGATCCATAGATGCACCAGCCATCTGGCGTCTGACTTCTACCCAGATGCTTCCCTCTTGGGAGACTTTTGGGAGTCCACTCCAGGGGCAGAAGCACCCACCCATTTTTGGAAACTGAGACATGAAGCTCGCTTAATTCATCCTCAGAATGTAGGTCCTTCACTTCACCTGCTTCGTGGATTCTACAGGGTTTGTCTCACACAGCAGATGCCCACATGCACTTTTCCTCTTCATCACACACTGGCATGCTTGGGGAAGACCCCAGCACATTACAGTTACGGTTGGATCAAGGACAAATCAACCCCTTGGAAATAGAGTTCTTTTCTTTCTTTCTTTCTTTTCTGCTTGTTTTGTGTTTTTTGTTTGTTTGTTTTTTTTTTGTTTTGTTTTGTTTTTTGTTTTTTGTTTTTTTTTGTGACAGGGTTTCTCTGTATTGTTTTGGAGCCTGTCCCCTGAAACTCAATCTGTAGACCAGACTGACCTTGAACTCACAGAGATCCACCTGCCTCTGCCTCCCAAGTGCTAGGATTAAAGGTGTCCACCACCTCTGCCCGGCTGAAACAGAGTCCTTCTATCCACTGCCTGTAACATAGTGTGCCATAACAAATAATGTAGAAGGGACAGCCTACACAACATCATAGTTCTGAGGGCTAGAAGTCAGACCTGCATTTCTTCTGGGCCTTTCTCTTTGGCTTTCAGGTATTTATTCCCTCCCTACGGGGTGTCCATCCCATGCCCACATTTCTGCTTAGGTACACAGGTCCTACTGGATTAGGACTCATTCTTACTGTCTCCTTTTAACATTACCATTCCCTTAAAGGCTCTGGTTCCAAACACAGGTGGTTGAAGTTTTGAATCACACATTTTGCAGGGGCAAAATTCAGCCTGCAATACTCTCTGATGCTCCAGGTGCCAGAGTCTAGCTACACCATCAGATCCCTGGATACTGGTATTTATACACAGGCCTTTTCTGTCTGATGGACCCTTCAGACTTCCTGTCAGTTTGGCAATATTTCCTCAGGATTAAGCTACATTGACCAAACGTTAAAGGTATGAAATCCATTCAAATTCTATACACTGTCTTTATTCATTGGTTATGAAGACCAACCAGAATCATGTTGAACGCTTTTGTAGAAACTGCTTCATATTCTTAGTCTATAAATTACATAACTACTCATCAAATACTCCCATAACTCACTAAGCAAAGTACTCTGGATGTAGAGGAGCATCATGAAGAAGACTTCAAAAGAAAATCATACAAGACTTTAAATCTTTGCTTTTTTTTTTCTAATATGACCCCAAAAGAGGCTGTGGTTGTATTGGTCAACATCCCATAAGGACCATCCTTACTAGAAAGGCTAGAGAACCTCAGAAGCCACATCTGTCTTGTGTCTCTCCTACTCCAGGCTGCTTTGACCCAGGCACCAATATTGGGCCTAGCCTGGAATGCTTAGAAAAGGGGGCAATGAGCTCTGGACACAAACACAGGGAATTATTGTTAGGAACCAGTGAAAAATGCCCTAAAAGGGAGTGTGTATAGGGAGGTGCCACCCTCCTCTGCATCTCTATGGGGCTCACAGAGCCCTCTGTGCAAACTCACATCCCTATTTTCAGATCTCATTTCCTGGCAGCTTGCTCTTAGGTCATTGTGATCCATATTGGAGGCTATGCAGGCTTTTCAAGCCCAAGGATCAGAAAATTTATAAGCAGGTAAACAAGAACTTTCGCTTTATATCATTTATAACTATTCCATAGAGAGAGAAAAAAATGAGTAAAGAGTAAAGTGCACACGGGAAAAATAACTTGGTATTTTTAGGGAAAATAAAACCTGTAGGGAAAAGAAACCTGTGTATGAAATGTGGTCCTCACTTCCCTGTCTTCTTATCTTTTGAGCATTCAAGCTTAAGTGTGGATATCTATAGCTGAACTTGAAGAGTAGGAGGAGCGGGAAATCGATGGGGATCACAACCTAATGCAAGCTTTTTCTGAATTGCTTAGCACTCCACAAGAGGCTAGCTCAGTATGGATGTTTGGAGTCAGCAGAAAGAGCAGGAGGCATATAAGCCTGTGACTGATGGCTGCCATCAGTTATGTGTCAGTCACTGCACTCCCCTGAAGGCCTAGCCAATCTCCCCTCATTTTACAAGCTCTCAATCATATTCATGAAGTCAAGACTTCAAATGGAGCATGATTATAGCTGTAATCGCTATTCCAGGTAGAACTGATTTGAGTGAGGCAGGATATCCACACCGGCTTAATTTCTTTAGGGTAATGATGCGAATCGCAATGAGGGGCCAATGTGGATGTTGCTGATATAATATGCAATAATTAATGTGGTTTAAGCATGCTGCTTCATAAACAGTTTTATTCTACTCTCTGTACTAGTATTTGGGCTCCATTTTCTCAACCCTTTTTCCCGCCTGTCTTTTTCACCTATGCAGCAGAATATATAGGTTCTGTTAGCCCAGGCTAGCCCACACCTGTTATGTAGGTGAGGATGTCCTTGAATTTCTGGATCTCCCTGCCTCTACTTCTCCAGTGCTGGGATAACAAAGTGTGCTACCACACTGAGATTTATGGGATGGTGAGGATCAAACCCAGGCTTCCATACACTCTAGGCAAGCATTCTGTCAACCGAGCTATGTTCCCTGCTCCAAGAGTGAGTTTAAAAAAACAAAACACACACACACACACACACACACACACACACACACACACAACCATGCTCTTTGCAAAGTTTGTGAAAAAAAAGGAAGTGGAGAAGAGATCTCTCTGCCTATTTCTTCTCTCCCCTGTCGCCCACATCCCTCCCTCCCCACTTGCTTGTTCTTACCACATTCCCACTTTCTGTGGTTTTACCATTCTTGGAAATGAATTAGCATTTCCAGACCCAAACACAATGACGGTAACACAATGATGGTAACAATCCGTGTTTGCTGATGATTCCTTGTGTGTCAGGAATTGAATTGCTGTGTACTTCACCTGTCTGATCTTATGGTGTTAAAATCCTGGTTTGTTCCCTGCTTTACAAAGGCAGATGGTTAAACTGTTCATAGGATCAGGCAACTCACTGGTCACATAGCCTCTGTTACAATTATTCAACACTACTAATGTAGCAGAAAACAAGTCCAGATGAGACAATGTTTCAAATGCTTTATTTATGAAAGCAAGTCGAATTTAGTTCATGGGCTACAGCTTGGCTCTTACTGATTTAGAGCATTAAATAAAACACTGGAAACAAACAAAAACAAATAAACAAACACATACAGGCCTCTAGTATTCTGTAGGCACTTGGTACTTTTTTTCTCACCATTTATTCTGTTAGGTTGATGGTTCATAAACAGGTTCCCAAGTACTGCGCCTCTGCCTCACTGCGGTAACAATCCAGCTGGGGTGATGAGACAGATGTTATAGAAAACAATAATATTTATGTATTATACATACATACATATAATTGTTTAGCAGGATCTCACTATGTAGTGCTAACTGGCCTAGAGCACACTATGTAGGCCAGGATCCCCTTCAATTTAGCATTCCACATGCCAGCCTCTGCTTCCTAAGTGCTAGGATTAAAAGTATAGTTAAAGGAACTGGGTGAAAGGGGCAGTTGTCACAGAAGAAAATGGTTGGTGGTAAGTGAAGGAAAAATAGAGGACTTTAGGGCTGGGACCCCAGAGGCAGGAGAATGCTCTAAAAAATGGTCAAAGCAAGCTAATTACAACTGTTGGTCTGGCAAAATGGAGGCAGTAGTAGGTGTACTGGCTGGTTCTGTGTGTCATCTCGACACAAACTGGCATCTTGAGAGAGGAAGGAGCCTCATTTGAGGAAATTCCCCCATGAGATCCAGCTGTAAGACATTTTCTCAATTAGTGATTGATAGAGGAGGGCCCAGCCCATTGTGGATGGGGCTGACCCTGGACTGCTGATCCTTGGTTCTATGAGAAAGCAGGTTGAGCAAGCCAGTAAGCAGCTCCCCTCCATGGCCTCTGCATCAGATCCTGCCTCCTGGTTCCTGCCCTGAATTTCCTTTGGTGATGAATAGCAATGTGGAAATGTAAGCCAAATAAACCCTTTCCTCCCCAACTTGCTCTTTGCTCATGGTGTTTCACGCAGCAGTAGAAACCCAAACTAACTTTGTGTGCTCCGCTGGCCTAGAGAGCAGGTACAGTCTCGACATGCAGAACCATGCCGGTGAGTTCGTGGACCTGTATGTGCCTCAGAAATGCTCCACGAGCAACCGCATCATTGGTGCCAAGGATCACGCATCCATCCAGATGAATGTGGCCGAGGTTGACAGGTGCACAGGCCGGTTTAATGGCCTATTTAAAACCTATGCTATCTGCGGGGCCGTTTGCAGGATGGGCAAGTCAGACGATTCTATTCTCCAATTGGCTAAGGCTGATGGAATTGTCTCAAAGAACTTCTGACCAGAAGAGATGGGAGAATATTTGTTATAAATAAAAGTGAGACAGAAAAAGAAAGAAAGAAAGGAAGGAAGGAAGGAAGGAAGAAAGGAAGAAAGAAAAAAGAAAAGAAACCCAAATGAAGACAGTAGGTGAAGATACTATCTGGGTGGAGAGCTGTGGAAACAGATGATGAGGTGGTGAGGGAGAGAAAGAGGAGCCTAGCTTGCATTTTGGTTTCCAGAGATGGTGTTCTACTCTGTAGAACATGTTCCTGGGAACTTTGAGGATAACATTCACGGGGTTCAGCAGGCATTTGTTGAGTGATTTGTAGGGTAGCTGGGCAGAAAAGTGACATCTGAAAGTTAGGATCAACCACAAGGGTAGGTCAAGCCTTAGACTAATTAATAACTTGAGGTTGGAAGTCTGAGATCAGTGGTTCTCAACCTTTGTAATGGGGGTGACCCTTTAATACAGTTCCCCATGTTATGGTGATTACCCCCAACCATAAAATGATTCGTTGCTACTTCCTGTCATTTTGATGCTGTTAATGAGTTGTAATACAAATATCTGATATCAGGATATCTGATCAATGACCCTGTGAAAGAACTGTCTAACCCAAAGGGGTGGACCTGCAGGTTGAGAACCGCTACACTAGAGGTCAGATCGGTCTGTTTCTAAGATGGCTCCTCAATGTCCTCCCTAGAGTGGGGACACTGCATCCTCACGTGCCAGAAGAGGCCGAAAGATAAAAGGGCACAGGGCACACCCCGAGTCCTTTTTATAAGACACCAATCCTGTTTACAAGGACTTAGCCCTGAAGGTCTAATTACCTCCTGCAGGCCCCACCTCTTAATACCCTTACAGTGGGTCTAAGGTTCCCATATGAACTTTGCAGAAGACATAGGTTCGAATCACAGGAGTGATAGAATAAAAGCTGTCAAGGGTGCTTGCTGATGTCTTTTCTTTCCCCCCTCAAGTGACTTACTAATTTCATTTTATGTGCATTGATGGGTGTTCTGCCTGCATGTCTATCTTTGTGATAAACTGAAACTGAGTTGTGAACTGCCATGTGGTTGCTGGGAATTGAACCCAGGTCCTCTAGAAGAGCAGCTATTGCTCTTAAACACTGAGCCATCTCTCCAGCCCCTTGGATGCTGATGTTTGGAAGAAAAATTATAAATAGTTTTAATTGTTTGAATTTAGGAGAGCAATAGGAAAAGTCTGATACATTAAGGTAGACTCAAGAAATAGGGTAAACCTGGACTTGGTCAGACTGTTTGTATAAATGGAGGTTTCTCTTCCATCCTCCATTTCCTGAATACAAACTCAGAGGCTTACTATTAATTATGATTGTTTGGCCAATGGCTCAGACATATTACTGACTAAGTCTTAAAATTAAATTAACCCATTTTTACTCATCTGTGTATCACCACATGGGCATGACTTCGTGGTAATATTCTGGCATCTAACTTCTTCGGCAGCTATGTGGCATCTTCTTGACTCACCTTCTTTCTCTTTGTATCTGTTTGGATTTCCTGCCTAGCTACATCCTGCCTGGCTATTGGCCAAATCAGCTTCTTTATTAACCAATGGTAATAAAACATATTCACAGCATACAGAGGGGGCATCCCATATCAAGTTAGACACTGGTCTTGAAAGCTATGGGTTCTAAGAAATGGACAGATGTAAAACGATTCTGGATGAAACCAGAAGGTCCACAGAGCCATGCTGGGATGTAGCCAGAAACTCTGGAGCTTCTCTCCAGCTCCTTTCAATATTATGCCAACAGAAGTTCTATGTAGATAGGTGCTATGGTTTGGACCTGGAGTGTCCTCCCCAGGCCAGTGTTTGGGAGGCCTGGTTCCCAACCTGGTGCTGTTGGGAGGAACAGAGACTTGAATAGCTGGTATCTTAAAGGGCTTTGGATCACTTGAGGGTTACTCTCAGTTGTTCCCCCCCCTCTTCCCTTTTTAGAAAAGTTATTTCTTTTATTAATTATTATTGGTCTCTGGATGCAAAAAGATCAATGAGGAGACAACTTGGTGGAGTGGGTTTGGATCTTCTAACCTTTACAGTTGAACCTTCTGGCCATCCAACTCAGGTTGTTTGGCTTGCTTAGCAAGTACCTTTGTCTGTGGAGTCATTGTCATCTTTTGTCCCCCCCCCCCTTTCCCTCCCTGGCTGTGAGGTGAATGCATTTTCCTGCTGGCTCATCACAGGCTCAAAGCAATAGTGCCAACTGATGACAGATAGACTAGAAGCTCCACAATTTGAGCACAAACCACCTTCCTCTTTATAACAGATCCTCTCAGGCTCTTGTCATATTGACAGCTAACACATTGGGCTGTCTCACAGCATTTTTTTAATATGGGGGGGGGGGAAGAAAGCCCTCAAGAAAAGAATTCCACAAACCTCTGAAGTCTAGAAACTTCTCCCTAATCTAGGAGACACAGCCTAGTATGGTGTAAAAACACTGAATTCAGTGACTAGGAGGTATGGAAAGGTCTCACCAATTAAAGTGATAAACAAAGACTAGTAACCTCAGCATGTTTCCCAGTGTCCATAGATCAGTCACTACTGAGCAAAGCCAGCTTCAGGCAGAAATCCAAGAGTGTAGCTCTAGGAACTAAATGGGATTCTGCAGCAGGAGTACCCAGTTCTGAGCAGTGTCCATCGTGTTTCTTTTACTTTATGTGTTACTTCCAACTAGGGAAGAGAGGTGACTGTGGGTCAGAAGACAAGAGAAATTGATCTTTCTAGAATAGAGTTGACATTATGTTTTTTTCTAAGTAAATTCAGGAAAGTATTCCAACCTGGACCTTGTTACATTGCTGAGTTACAAATAGCGATGTTACCACCCAGGATGGTTTGTCAAGGACTACTTCTTTTCCTCTGCCAGCTTAGCTATTTCTTGAAGCTGATGAAATACCTCATACTTGTGTCATGGCCCGGTCAAGCACATTCTTTCTAGGGAATTCAAAATAGCAAGGGAATGACGGGATTTAAAAATCTGATATAGAGTCTGTCCAGTTTCAAATGCTATGATTTTTTTTTCTTTCTTCCTAATGGTGTAGCATGTAAATCAGAGTTCCCAAATGCACCCATTGAAATATCCAGTTTCTTGGGTGCCAGAACTATGCATGGGGCCAGGAACGCATACAGATAGAAATGGGCAGTTTGTAAAAAAAAAAAAAAAAAAAGCACTTCCAAGGATAAAAATGAGCTAGTGAGCAAGACAGACAGATAATGAAAAGCACTGCATTCTGTTCTTGATAGCTTAATGCACATGGCACCCTGTCCTCTGGGGGAGCTAGCACCTCTTGGGGGCAGAAGCTCGATTTTGTTACAAGAAGCCCTGGTAAGTAGGGCTTTCCAGTCTTCCTCTGTTCAAAGTTAACCTTGATGCCTGCTCTCCCAACACAAGGAGTGAGACAAGGCCTAGCCAGCCTTGTAGCCAGGAACTCATTCTACAGCTTCAAACTCACAAGCCTCCTGCCTCTGTGTCCTGAATGCTGGGATTACAGGTGTGCCCCGCCATAACTGGGCTCAGATTTCTGGCCATTTAAAAAAGGCAGACTCGGCCAGACAGGTTGACTGACCCAAGGACTGAGTGACTGAAGTCCTCAGGGTGCTGGCTCCAAGCCCACTCATTCTTTCAAGGACATCTTTTTAGGCATTTCGAAGTGGCTAGTGGTGGGAAGCCACAACCACCAGAAACAATAAACTGGGGGGGTTATGGTCAGGATTTGCCCACTATACCGACCTCCAAACAGCACTTCTGAAGTTGGGGCGGTCCTATTAGAGACCCAGGCACTTCAAGGACAAGAGCAGAACTCTTAAGGGTTTAAGGCATAATGTTTTTGACAGAGCACACTAAGGGGACCAAGCGCCAAACTGACTCCAAAACCTTGATATTTAAAGCAATTGTCTGGACATAATGCCCTGATTTGATCAAAGGGCTGGGCCACACAATCCAGGCAACAGGAAAGCTGACAAGTGGGGGAAGGGCCTTTTGTGCTGGAGGCCTGGAATCCGGATGCCCTGGTGGGCGGGGCGCTGGCTGTGCTGGGGAGACGCAGAGGCCCAGCCTGCCCCTGGCCTGCCTCCCCTGCCCGCTGTGATGTCCACAACAAGAAGTCGGGGAGGGGGCCTCCCCGCCCCCGCCCCAACTCTCCCACTCCTGCTCTTTTCCATCAGTACATTTCAGAAACATTCCCCTTTCTGCTGTAACCTCTGCTTGAATTCTTGTATAATTCTACTATCAGAAAAAGAAAGTGCCCCGATTTAACTCTTGGGGCCTTTCTCTCAGCGTGCGGTTTCCTGAACAAATATCCCTCTATCCTCAGGTCACATTCTTGGCCTTGTTGTTTCAGGTGCCTGATAACTCTAGACTAAAGACAGCCTGGCTAGCCTAAGAGTGAAAGCCTGGCTTCCCATTCCTAGGAGCTCACTTTCTCCGGTCCCTAGCATCTTTGCCTGGTTCTACTTCTGTCCTGGCCTCCTCCCCATTAGCGGCACCACCCCCTCTCCTTCTGCCTTTTTCTTCATCAGAGAGGTTGCTCCGAAGGTCCTGCTCCAGACGCCTATCCCTGGTATCCTCACCTTATTCACTATTTTTTCTTCTAGTTCCCTGCTTGTCAGGCAATATCTGCACACAAATGATCGGTGTTTTTTTTTTGTTTGTTTGTTTTTGTTTTTTTTAATTCTTGATGGTCCCCAAGATTGCAGCCTTGTAGATAAGCCTTATGAAATTATGACCTTTGATGTGTTCGGGACTACTCTCTCTCTCTCTCTCTCTCTCTCTCTCTCTCTCTCTCTCTCTCTCTCTCTCTCTCTCTCTCTCTCTCCCCCTCCACAAGCGAGAGTGACCTGTGCTTCAGACATTATTTTCTTAGAAACAGAATTTTATAGTTCAAAAGACTTGATACACTGCCTGTTGGCCCTGACAGCAACGTGCACACTCATGGCTGCCCTTCCAGTTTGTAAGTTGTTAGGACGGCATCCCCCTCTGCCGTGCTAGGCACACAAGGAAAAGGTAAGTTTGAGTAGCTTTCAGGATTGTGCC